CCACTTCAGCTCAATGAAGTGGTCTGGGTGCCAGGTCCATCTAGGGTTAAAGGACCACTATAGGCACCCAGACCACTTCAGCTCAATGAAGTGGTCTGGGTGCCAGGTCCAGCTAGGGTTAACCCCTTTTTTTTTATAAACATAGCAGTTTCAGAGAAACTGCTATGTTTATAAATGGGTTAATCCAGCCTCTAGTGGCTGTCTAACTGACAGTCACTAGAGGCGCTTCTCACTGTGAAAATCACAGTGAGAAGACGCTGGATGTCCATAGGAAAGCATTGAGAAATGCTTTCCTATGGACTGTTTGAATGCGCGCTTGGCTCTTACCGCGCATGTGCCTTTGGCGCTGACGTTGGTAGAGAGAGGAGAGTTCCCCAGCGCCTAGGGAGCCCATCACTGGAGAAAGGTAAGTGTTTAACCCCTTCAGCCCTTCAGGGTGGGGGGACCTAAAGACCCTATAGTGCCAGGAAAACGAGTTTGTTTTCCTCACACTATAGTGGTCCTTTAACCCCTATGTTGACCAAAATATGTTTTTGTTAAGTATAAAAACTAAAAAAATTAATAAATATAGAAATCCTCATAGTTGTATTTAGCACTATCCTGGAACTGAATGTCTCCATTTTGGCTCCATGTCAATCATTGTTATAAGTTCTGACCTTTACACATGTAATTCAGCACAGGGAGGGGAGGAGAAACAGGAACATTGGAGGAGAATCAGCAAAGTGTTCTGTGATTTAACCCCTGAAGGTAAACCGGAGCTCAGACACTCACTGAGCTGAAGTTGTTATGGTGGTGGCATTGTTCTATAGATGAATATAGAAGTTATAGATGATTTTCAATATTTTATCTAACGGTCTAATTTCCAGAGAAGTGATGATTCCCCAATTAACACAACAAACTGTATGTATGCTGGCTATTTCATAAGATAAAAATTATAAAACAAAATATGTATGTATGTATGTATGTATGCATACACTACCTGTTTATATATTATAAATAAGATATATGAAACAATTTGGTTGGTGAGAATGAAAAAATAGTATGAGAAATAGTGTATATATTGTCTCTCGTAATTGTATGTTTCAATTCTACTATTTGTCAGTTAGAATCTATTTTAGTCTTAATTTCGGAGTTAAGTGGCAGGGACTTGTCTAGCAATTGCTGTCTTCATTCCCAATAAGAGATGTCCAATTAATTTAAAGCCAATAAAACAAACACGCTCTGACATTAAATCGCAAAACATCCTGTTTAATAATGAATGCCCAAACCACGGAGATAGAGACGACGTGGCACAAGTCCCACTCCACTGGTGCTATTGTCCCCCTTCTTAATTGGGCTTGGACATAAAACACATGGTATCAGCCTGGGCCCATCTGGGAGTACCGCCACCACCAGCCTTTGTTATTAATTGGCGGAATGCATTCCAAAATCCGACTGCGGAAACAAAAATTGGCAGCCGTGATCATCGGATCACGCTTTCTGCCCGAGCGAGGACGAGTGGTACTGCCACTCGTTTAACCCTGTCATTGCCAGAGAGAGGACTATTGATTGACTTTATCAACAGTCTATGTTACAGATTTTGCGTTAGAACACAGCCAATCACGTGAGTTTGCGTACGTTTTTTTGGACGTCGTTTTACATAAAGTAAAAGTTTTTAATAGTTGTGCTCTCTGAGCAATGCTGTGGTTTATCAGACTATAAGACTTTATTCCGGTAATATTTACACCCAGAGGAATGACACCCTCACTGTGTGCTGGGTAAGGACCTCGTATATTGCTCATCTCAGGCACTGAGCTTCTGGCTGTGAGAAGACAGGGAGGGGCACCTGCTTTAAAATAGTTTGACTACTTAAATTAGTATTCCTGGCACCATAACCACTATGACGTGCTGTCCTTTTAGTGTTATTTTAAACAAAGAGGGGCCCTGAATCTAAACACTGTAAGTAACACATCAAACTTTAAAACATATTCATTTTTAAAGTTAGAACATTTCTTTAATTATTGTCGAGTATTAGATGCCTTTATGGAGTTAACTCTTTCTACCATTCAGTTAGCAATCAAAAAAGATGCTGATGACAGATTTTTGCAATGCATTAGCTTGTATTACAACCAGCATTCGCCTACAAATTTGGTCCAATCGAATTGTGGAAATTCAGTGGGACCAAATGTGCAGTCAGCCAGTTGCCAATCTTCGCTAATTATCACTGTATTTGAAGTTTGGCTGCGTAATTCCACCATTCAGTTCTGGATTTTAGAAGTTCATTTCCGTTAAGGCAGACTTAAATCTGGGCTACATTGTTATTTTGTATATTTCAAACCAAGGAATTAGAAGTTCATTGAATTACATGTTATCTTTGCCTATTCACCTTTAAAGTTCACTGATGGTAGTCCGGTTCCTCCATTAAGGAGAAGCCTAACTCCTGTCAATCACTGCTTCAGAGCTTTTATAGAATGCCAGGATATTCCACTGCACTGTACAATAAAGAAGTGTTTAAAGGGACACTATAGTCACCAAAACAACTTTAGCTTATTGAAGCAGTTTTGGTGTATAAATCATTTCCCTGCAGTGTCACTGCTCAATTCTCTGCCATTTAGGAGTCTCTTTGTTTATGCACCTTAGTCACACCTCTCTGCATGTGACTTGTACGGCCTTCCTAAAAACTTCCTGTAAAGAGTCAGCTAATGTTTATACTTCCTTCTTTGCAAATTCTCTTTAATTTATAATGTATTATCCCCTGAACTGTTGATAGCTTTCTAGACCCAACAGAAGCATTATGTGTCTTATTAACATTTGCTTTAGAGAGCAGGCAATAAGAACTTTTAAAGTAAGTTACATCTAATTGAAAGTGAAACCATTTTTTTTCCATGCATGGTGTGTGAGTCACAGCAGGGCTGGTGTGGCTAGGGCTGCATGGACAAACAAAAGGGATTTAACTCCAAAATTGCAGAGAATTGAGCAGTGAGACTGCAGGATCATGATCTATACATTAAAACTGCTGCATTAAGCTAAAGTTGTTTTGGTGACTATAGTGTCCCTTTAAATACTGAAAAACACAAGAAATTTGTCTGAAAGTCCAAAAAATAATTTAAATGATTTAAAATTCTACCTTTTATATGGATTGAGTTATTTGGATCAAGCTCTTGATTCAGTTAAACTGAATAATGTGTGGACTCGCTGATAAACAGCAATCATTAGTTGAGATTCCCAAGAATTCTTCAAAACAAACAATATGTATCCATGCAAAGAACTGCGCCATGATTAATGTGGAGCTGGGAAATATTAACGTGAAACTGGGAAATGTACCATAATGTATCATGTATCATGACACCGTTAACTAAAAGCCAATTTGGGATCGAAGCTTTGCTACCGTGCATTTTGTAATAAACGTTTTGGTGCTTCTATCAGTCACTACGCAGGTTTTTATAAGTATTACTCTGTACCTGACAGAGGGAAGTTAGTATATTTTTATTGAAAAGGTACATGTCAGTTT